AATTACTATACACGAAATTTCAGACAGTAATATCCACGTATCAAGCGAGAAAGTCAAAATACGTTATGGGGGAACGGTAAACTCAGAATGTGTATAAATTTCTTTGACTTTTTATCGACAATCGTCCCTATCGGGATTTTTCCTTCGTGTACAACTTTATATCATTATTATCGTAATGTGAAACTGGCAACTGTGTCCCTCGTCGTGAAATAATACTTTTATAAATTACTATCTATTCTCCCGAAGACTTTTATTATAAAATTACTTTTTGTCCATAAATTCTAGTTACGAAGAGCGCAGTTCAGAAAAAAGGCAGAAACAAAAGGTAGACTCTATGTATTCTCATTAATAGATTATTTTATCGATGTTTGTTTCAATTGCACGTCAAGCATGAAACATTACTTTAACCCTATTCGTGGTACATTATAAAAAATTAACAAGTCTCGGCTAGCGGCGATAGACCATACGCATAAAATTGTCATCACGATGATCTAACAGTAACCCTTGTATACACTCGATTGCAAGGTGTAATTACAGTCTTTATCTACCATTCAATTTCAAATCATATGATCGTGTATACCACTGTCGTATATTGATTTCTGCGGTACCCTTGGCGTCGTTATTGATATGAGTTTTACTCATGCAATGAAAACGGAAGAAGAGATCACATACTGAAACACGCAATAGTAATATTATAAAGAAGTGTATGCAGCTTTGGATATTATTTATGTGTTGTGACGATGCAAATTTTTGCTCGTCACTCAGGCCGTAGCCTGGCCGAGGAGGAGCCGGAAACTCACGCCTTCTCACGAGAGAAGGCGACCGAATTTATTATTTTTGACTGTTGTGAACCGGTAGTTCACGAGACAGGATCCGCGGCTGCTATATTTTGTTTTAGTCTAAGAACACCCCGAGCCGGAACACCGGAGGAGAGGAAACAAAAAGGATTCGGCTATTTGACGCATGGTAGACTCATTCACACCCTAAATTGTCAATTTCCTGAGAGACAGCCTGGGTCTTCCGCAATTAGCTTTTGGGTCCTTTGGACAACTTCCGGGGCCCTTGCCGACTTCTCAGCCATTTTGAGGTTATGTTTAGTCAGAACATTGTTTTAACTTACTCGGACACAAATATCAACTTAGCACTGGAGTAAAATATGCCGGGAAACTCAAATTGAAATTTGTCCGGATTTAGTTGACGTACCCTGTATGTATGTACCAATTTAAACGTTAATTAGATGAAAATTAAGTAAAGTGCGATACAAAATATGAAAATGTTAAAGCGATCAAAATGTTTTCAGTCATTTTATTTTCTTTATTTCTTCAAGTTACTGCAATTGTATAATTCTATAGTTTGTATACTACTAATTCTACAATATATATATATTCTGCTAGTTGCATTTATGCAACAAATACAACTTCTACAAGCTACAATTATATATTATTAATCAGTATTTCAGTTCATACTGTTAATTCGATTTGTCTCACTTTGACCAAAATTACATACATTTCGCTAAGATAATCAAATCGCTAATCTTAATTAATTGTTGCTCAAGTCAGATATAAAGCCACCAGTTGTGCGGACTATTTCTCTATTATCCATCTTGTGTCTGTCGCATTAGATTGAATATCGAATATGATGTCTTAATCACCTGCAACAATCGAGCGTTATACAGATTGAGTCAACTGTTGTGAACAAACTTATCAAATTGATAATTACGTGACCAACTAGTTAGACTGACCGTCACGAAAGTCTCGAGATTCAGAGGAATGATATATGCACTGGTGAATTTTATGGGTATTAGAGTCGCGCGATTCATAATAATCAAGAAACCCTTCTTTACGTTGTTACTGTAATCCGGCCATTCCATTTTATAAATACTTTCCGACAATTCCATACTCTAAGCAGACAAACATACGGTGAAACATTACATCCTGTTAGATTTTTTTCTTCGCGCTGACTTTATACGTAAATTTACCTTTAGTTTCACTTCATTTCCGAACCAACAGTAGGAGAAGGTCGGCATTAACGCGCAACCTATGCACATTATGGTTTCGACATTATTAACAGCTGCTATTGTTAAACGAAGGAGCAGGCAACACACTACCAAGCAGGACCCTATGAATTGGCTGCCGATGATATTTACTAATTTATTATTCAAGTTCACGGCGTATCTGGCGATTGAATAAAATATAAATATGAAATGTCGTTGCTTACATTAATATTAATTAATGTATGTAGGAAACTGACTCGAATATATGGTCATGGTGAATCACGCATTCGCGTAGCTTAGCTTGATTATTTGCGATATTTGACAGACGGTACTGTAAGAACTCGAACTGGCAGCAAACGTGTAACATTAATCCGGAGAAGAAACAATCACCGGCGATGTTCAAGAAACAGGTTAATATCAAACTGATCGTTTGATGAATATATACAAAATATAATACATCACGGAGAACGAGTAGTCAAACGGGAACCATGCTTTGAACGTTAATTTTCTTTTTCTGAAGTCCGTCAATAAGGATACCAAAGTCATGTATGAAAGAGTGAGCATCATAAGAATTAAATAGCACATTGTAATTTTCCTAAAAAGATGCAATTATTTTTATATTTTATTCCTTCTCTTTTTGGTGAAACTTATTGTTCAATACATAACGATCAATTTTTCTAAGAAATAATGATATTATATAGAAAAGAAGATAATATTATAGTCCCTTATTTACGTTTTACATTTTGTTAATAATATTTTAATTGATAATTTAACGATTATATTTGTCAAAGTGTTATTCAGTTGATTCTAAACTCAAAGTTATGAAATATTTAGTTATGAAATTATTTAGGATGTTATTTAATTAAAAATGTAGTGACACTGCGTCATGAGTCGAAAACAAACAGGGGAGATATGTATATATATAATGTGATCTGCCAAACAAATATATTTAAAAAATTGGTTTCCTTCAAAAAATACATTTTATATAATTATAATACAATTTAATTATATCATT